TCACACCATGTAACGATGATGATGATGTATGTTCAGGGCTGCATTACAACATTGATTGTTCGGATCACTGGTATCTAAGTCTTCCGTTGTGCTATATTATACTTTGTATTGAAAGGTCGGTTCTTGTTCTGGTCTGCATGTTACAGTATGCAACAGAGGCCCAGGCCGTTTTCCAAAAAAAAAAAAGAAGAAACAAGAAGAAAAAAAGAAAAGCTCGTGGCGCTGTATCTTTCCATGTTGTAGGGGAAGATTCACTCTCTGTTTCCACGATTGATAGAAATGTGCAAAACGAGAGTGAATCTTCGCAAGAACATGGAAAGATACAGGGCCATGATTTTTGTCTTTTGTGCAATGGGGATAGAGGGGCCCAACGAGATACACGGGCTGACAACAACAAAGAGGCCCTAGGCGATACAGGTGCTGACCACAACACAATTTCTTTTCTTTTTTTTTTCTCTTTTGTTTTTCCTTCTCAGATTTCCCTACCTATGCGTGTCATCCTTGGGGCCTCATGGCGGTGCATCTTTCCATGTTCTAGCGGAAGATTCACTCTCGTTCTGCACATTTCGAGAGTAGTGGAGGGCCCCCCCGCTCGCTACTCTCGAAATGTGCAAAATGAGAGTGAATCTTCCGCTAGAACATGGAAAGATACAGCGCCATGATTTTTATTTTTTGTGCATGTCCTTTTTTTTTTTTTTTTTCTCTCAGCACTGTCGTGTGGCTGGCCAGTGCTGCGATGCCTCGGCCACAACCGAGGTAAAAAAAAAAAAAAGAAAGAAAGAGAGACAGCATCCCGTCGTGTGGCTGGGCCGTCTTGGCCACGGCCGAGATTAAATTTAAAAAAAAAAAAAAACAAAAAAAAAACGCCACGTGGCGGACTGGACTGCAGTTGCAAACTCGGCCTCGCGACTTTTGTGCATGTAGAGAGTTTCGACTGCAGTTGAAACTTGGGATCGTACTGGACTGCAAAGAGGCAGTTCGAAAAAATGCATTAACAAACTGCTTTCGTGACTGCGCCCTAGTTACCCCTTTTTTTTTTTAAGGGGCCCAGTGCCCAAGGCTCCAATTACGAATTTGATTACAAGCTTATACCCACGCCTCTTCCCATTACAGCTGGAAGAGCCTCAGCCACTGTTCCCCTGGAGACAGCTTCCCTGCATAACACGACTGTAGCATAATCACGGGGCATTGATTGCTTCCCCAGGTGGGGAAGGATTAACCCCATTGTGTGCAGAATCAAGCTCCGCCCTACCATGAGGAGTGGGGGCGACTCGAATAAGGCATAGAACTTGATTCCAGGGCGAGATAGTTATGCAGTTTATCAGTAGTTATATTGAGCTTCCCCCACGATCGTAATTAACTACAAACCACTCAAGTGGAGGAAAGCCCTATTTCAGACAAATTCCAAGCAATATACCCACGTAGCAGGAGAGCAAAACAACGACATATACAGCCTGGATGCCTAACACCACTGCACCTCCTACCCTGCCACGTGGTGAAAATCCATGTTTATAGAGAATTGAAAAAAGGCCAACTCGCAATACTGACGTGACAGAACACAAGTCAATCGCATAGGCATCGGTGCCGATCTTCCCAGCACCTCCTTCCCTGCCACGTGACCAAAATGTAGAAACACAAAAAAATGAAATCACATGTTCCACATGGCATATCGCTGAATGACCACATGGGCAAACCCTACCCGCCCTGTTGCCACGTGGCCAGCGTTGGATGGAAAAACAGACCAATCACAAGCCACCCTATCCACCTTGGCGATCTGGCAATCGCTATCCCACCCCTTCACTCCACCATCCCACTTCTCGCTCCCCCGCCCACCCTTCTGGTTTGTCGAGCTATCCATTCGACCTACCCAGTCGCCCTTTCCCCCAGTCAACCCCGAAAAAGCGTGAGAAGACAAGCAAGAGGGGAGGGAAAGGGGGGGGGGGAGAGGATGCCCAATAACGGCCATTTTGACAAAATGGACATATTATATTTTTTTAACGAAATTGAAATTGAGTTTTTGGGCCGAAATCCGGTCCAAATTTTTGGCTACGGGGAGTCCGACGTTCTGAGAACGCCGGACCCCATAGATGTATCTGACCTGAAGCTGAGACCAAATACATCTTGGGGGTCCGGCTTTCTAGGAACGCCCAACCCCCAGGAGCCAAAAATTTGGACCGGATTTTGGCCCAAAAACTCAATTTCAATTTCGTTAAAAAAATATAATATGTCCGTTTTGACGAAATCGTTGTTCAATGGCCCTTACCACAATGTCAATATTATTGTTATTTTTGTTGTTGTTGTTGTTGTTGCAACCGGCAGTCTTGTGAGTAGTTGCGTCCGCAAACCTTGTTGCCGTTATTTGAGAGGAAGCATTCGTTACTAGTGTCGGTGATGGTAGAGACGTCACTGATACTGCTGCAGATGCAAGTGGTGAAGTCTGTCGTTATTTGAGACGAAGCATTCGTTACTCATGTCGGTGATGGTAGAGACGTCACTGATACTGCTGCAGATGCAAGTGGTGAAGTCGACGACGTCGTGTTGATGATCGATGAAATAAACTTTGGTGATGTTGTTGATGTAATCAACGCCGTTGTAGATGGCGTCATCGCAGGCACTGTTATGGTTGATGTCGGTGATGTGATTGTCGCTGTCGCTGAAATCACAATCGCGCGCACCGTCACTGTTGTTGAAACGGTTATCCCTATTGTAGATGTTTCAATCGACAGCCTCTCCTTCAACTGATCATAGTAATCTACTCCCTGGCTGAAAATCATGTTACAATTGGTTATCAGAGTGTCAGCCCGCTGCCAATCTACAAAAGGCTACAGGGCTGGATCCTCCACAATCTGCCAGAGGATGGTTGACAGTTGTTGGTACTTGTCCTCCAGCCATGTGGTCATGGTAGATCCCCCCCAATCCACCACCGACCCGGCCTGGGCCACGGAGGCCAAGGCTCCAACAATCTGTTGCATATGCTGTTGCATGTCTTCCAGCTCGGCCACCCATTCATCTGCTTGCCGTTGAAAATTCTCTGATAAACCTGTCTCCTGTAGAAGCTCCACGTGTGTTGTTCCCTGCGCAAGGACGCCTTCTCCACGCTGACCACAAGATGCCACCATCTCGCCTACCCCTCCACCTGCCCCTTCAGTCAATCCTGGCCGCTCCATTGTTGACTGACCTCCGAGCAGACTTCAGTGGTGACGTCAACGTCTTCCGTCTTCCTCGGTAACTCCGAAGCGTTGGGTTTCAAGACCGCTGAGCCTGTCAGCCGGTTCGTTCCCCGCGCGCTTGCGCCTGGACCTCTCACTCCCAAGACCAGTCAATCCCCTGGATTGGGTGCGGTTTGAGATGATCTCATATTCAAGACTTATCTCAGGGGCAGGATAGCTAGCTTTGGATGTTACGTCTGGCCGTCCTCTGAAGAGGCGCACCTTCCTCTGTTTCATTATGTCCATGTATCCATACTGCATTGTTTCTATGGGACGCTGGACCCACTTTCCAGCAGG